CGAGCTCTTCATCATAATCTTACAGTCGTCGGTTGCTATGGAAACTGTGTCTCAGCTCTTTACTGTGTATAAAACCCAGGTGTGCCTGATTTACAAAACAATATTTCCTTGTTTAAAAAAAAAAAAAAAAAGCAGAAAACGAAACTCCAACTCAACTAGACTTCGTAGGACTTCAAAGTTTCAGTTGTTTGGCTTTGTTCCGTTACTGAGCCGCCCCTGGTATGTCGATTTATCAGTGTTCACGTGTTTTTGTTGCTCTGTACAGTCAGATTTCTATACCTTTATATTTGCCAATGAAGTTTACGAAAATCAGTATTTTAAAGTTTTGAGAAACAAAACTAAATTCTGCACTGCAGGTGTAACTGGTTTACTTACGGGGGTGATTCTAATGAAAACTGTCAAGAAGGGTCATATTTCACTTGGAAAAAAAAAAATATATATATATTTTGCATGAAGACAATGAAGCCTATTTTTAGGACCATCACAGACATTTTTTAATGAACACATTTTAATCGTCTGAAACAATTAAGAACAATTGCAAATACACATTGATTTTTAATTTATGCCATAAAGTTGAATTCATGCTTATTTTAAAAAAAATTTAAATTGTGTCCAGACAGAATGGTTTTCATTACTGTATTACAGTATTTTAATCACCTTACAGAAATAAAAATGTATTAATATGCTTAACTGTCAAAATCCGATGCAAAAATGCTTAATCTTTAAAGTAGACTATTTTCTTAATGCAAAATATAATTTTTTAGGGTGAAATATGACCTGGACATTTCTTTGTGAGATTAACCACAGATACTTAATGCCTCAAATTTAAGATACCATTCAGTATTTTGTCTTGTTAATCAGGCAAGCTGTTTTTAGCATTGCCTCATTTTCCCATCTGATTGTTTATCTGCCTTATATGAAGGAAATTAAATTGCACTTCACTATTAAGAGCTAATTTATAAAAAGAAAAAAATCATACGAATCATTAATTATGGAAATATTCATAGGAATGCTTATTATCATTTAAAAACTGAATCGCTTTGATAGAATTTAAACTGGTCACTTGTAATGAACTACTCAACTGAATAATAATTCAAATCGGACTCGAATTCTACTAAGAAAAGACATTTTGTAATAAGCACTCCAAAATATTTGTCGGTAACTGTAATGTTTTGAAAACATACTTTTCACGATCATGACACCATACAAAAAAAAGTCAGGAAAAAAGTGTCAACCTCAGAAGGCAGTTTCACCTGTTCTTTCATTCATCTTTGCGTGGCTTCATGTTGTAATGTGTCAGTCTGTGTTCATAGGAGATGCTCTAAGGAACTGCAAACCCACAGCCTTATGCAAGACCGCCAAGCTGTAAGTGCCATTCACAAACATTAAGTCACACTGGACAATCTAGATTATAGTCAGCTGACCAAGAATTTAAAGATACATAAAAATGTCCACACTGGTCAAGGACACAGCCCAACAGATTTGACAAATTTACAAAAATATTTAAGTTTCCAACACTGCTCTCAGTTGTAATCAAATGGCACACTGTCAAGCTGTTATAGCTCATGCTGGTTTTCTCTCTCTAAGCCCACTTTTGTGAAGAATTGCCCATTTAACTTTACTAAAAGAAAAAAATAATACAACATAAGTAGCCCTATCAAACTAGACCAAATCAAATTGAAAAGATTTATTTAAATTAGGCGAGTATGGGCATGCCATTTATAAGAAGATTTAAATTCAGCCATTTTCATTCAGAAATCCAAGCTTTTTATGCTTCACACTTCTTTATTATTCTGTTTGGAATCATATAATAACCTAAAACAAATAGCCGAACCAAGTGATGAATACAAACCAATTAGAAGCAGGTTAAGAATTATTTGATGAATGATGATGAAAAAAATGTACTTGAAATGTATGAACCACAGGATTGTGTAGATTGTATAGGAGAGCACAAGACCTCCAACTCATATTCATCAGCAAGTGTTCTCTCTGTTATGAAGATTTCCAACGTGCACGGCCCTATAGATGAAACTAAATCTAGCATCTCGAAGTCATGCAGAAGGCAAATACGGACCGTATGTAATATGACTGTGAAGTGCACGTTTAAAGCAGCACTTTGGAAGAGGCGCATAGGATTAAAAATGTTTAAGTTGATTGTGTCTGAGCAGAACTTACAGTATTATTAATTTCAGTGTATTTCGAAATGTTTATTCTTTTTGTGTTTATGCATGTGTATATTGTGTAATACCATCAGTATTATTGTCACTGACAAATGTTTCATTTGTAGAACCTTTTACATATGTCTTATTTTTGTATTGCTTTATTTATTGCGTGTGTAATACACAACACTGTAGTTTAACACAATGTATTTTAGAATTAATCTCAGTGCCACGAAGGAGGTTAAACCCTGATATACAGTATATAAAGTTAACAGTATTAGTTTTATAATTTAAAGTTATTTTTTAACTCCATCACAGAAAGTCAATCAGGCAGACATTTGTACCCATTGCTTTGGTTTTTCTTAAATCTGAAGCTTTTCCAACAGCTTCACAGTAATTAATAAACCTGTGATGAAGAGCATGGATTCATGTTGTTGTAATGGTGTTGAATTTGCCATTTTGGAACCAAAATTAGTCAAGCCATTTTGTCTATGTTTTTATTTGTGCCAACTCTGCATTGTGTGTGTAAATGTCACATTTTCCACAAAGTGATGAACCTATTCGTAGGATTTTTCTTTGTTTCCTTTTATGATGCCCCATAAAATAAAATGAAATGAAGCACCAGGTCATTTCTAAATTGCTTATTCATTATCAAACAAATTTATTGAAAGCGTGCTAATATTTAGTAATTTCCACACAACAGTGGGTGTCCAGGAAGATGTTTAGCATTTAATTTAAAACTTTTAAAAAATTAAAGCTTCTAATACTTAAACCTTAGCAGACAGAGTACATTTCCAGCACTGTTAAGTGACAGCATCCACTGTTTGTGTGGTTTTGTATCTAAAAATTCAGCAAAACAATAAATTAGGACAAATTCTTCAAAAGTTAATATTTTTGTTTGAAAGAAAATGTATCCATTGGAATGGAGAGGAAATAGTTTGCAATTTCCACTTTAGAGTGAAATAAGGGAGTATTAGAACAAGAAATCAGTGAACAAAAAGGTGTCAAGACTAATTCTAATTTTTTCCCTCATGGGGTCAGTCTGCATATTCATCTATAAAAATATAAACTTAATCAACAGCATTAAAGGAATGTTCCAGGTCCAATAATTTAGATAAGTCCCTGAAAAAAACAAAAACAAACGGCATTTACAGTAAAAACGTAGAAGTCTGAACTTTCCTTTATAAAGATGCTGTGCTTTGATTAAATCCATATAATATAAAAGACATAAGAGTAGCTTTGCATACCAGTACTTAAATTATATGTGAGAACTTTAAAGGCAACACATGAAAAACAAAACCAGTGTTGTTGTGATGTTTGCTGCCTCTTGGTGGAGGGGAGTAACAACACTCAATAAGGTGACCGATTTGCCTTGTCAATTTTATTTTGATCAAGACAAAGCTCTGCAACATACAGCAGAACATTTAACGAATTACATTCAACAGCCATTTACCAAATAACCATATCTGAAATAATTCTTAAAATATTTTAATAAACCTGTCTCTTTATTAATACAATTGTGGTGTCTTAACCTCCATGTGCTTTTTACTCATCACACACATACACACATAGTATGTCCATCAGACATCTTTAGAAAGAGCAATCAAGTTTTACCCACTCAGAATTTCTCCTCTTTCTCTAATAGAAGATCTTCACGTTATTTTGTCTTTAGGCTGTGAGAGTTTTCAATGCATGGCTGGGGTCTGGTCAGGAACAGTAGCGAGTCTAATGTCCTCAAAGGGTTAAATGTGTCATGGACATATTTCCTTTCAGTGTCTCTCTAAGGACCGAAGGGGACAGATGCACTCATACAGCCTGAAATATAATTGACATATATTTTCATAGCTCAAGAGTTTGTACATCCTTTGATGTTGGATCAATAATCAAGAAATCGTGGCCGAGACTCAAACAAAAGATTGTGTGTCCGAATCTTGAGAGTCTAGACAATAACTCCAGTGTTTCCCAGCAGTGGTCATCTCAGGGGTAACTTCCGGGAGCCCAGAACAGAATGCAATCCATTCCCGTGAAAATGAGTTTTTAGTATAGAATAAAATCCAAGTCTATCATATCAGTCCATCAGTTGATGTGTTGTTCCAAACCATATTACAGTATTACCACAGAAAGACGTGATGCAAAACGTAGTACTTGTAGTGAACGGAAATCTAAAATGAAGCATCAGATTTCTCCCACGGTTTTCAGTCGGACAGAAAACGTTCATATTTCAAGCCCTCGTTGCTCCAAATGAATCCAAAAATGGTCCAAAAATGACAGTCCAATGGATTTAGGTATATATAAAAATAATATGACATCCAGTCAAAAAAAATAACAATTATTTAGTCCAATAAAGATATGAGAAAGGATTTGACTGTTTATCTTGAAGACAGAGTGGTGTTTTTTGTTTTTAATGCAGGTGTTCCTCTCATGTAAACATATCAAAACAGTGTTCAGACTGGCAGTCAATGGGCTGTTCAGTCTTCAGCAGTAACTGTCCCACTGGGTTTGGTCAAAGTGTTCCTGTGCATGTGACCTACCTGCCAAATATCTTCTCATATTCCATAAGAATGAGCTCAACGATCTGATTCTGGTAGACCATGTGCACGGCCATATTTGCCGTCTCTACCTCTGGGCGTAGAAGTGTCGGGCCGAACACGATGGCTACACTCTGCGTGGTCATCCTATTCTCGTCGACATGCTGGATCACTCTACAGAGAGAAAGAGTGCTTGTAAACACACAAGGGCAATTAACATGACATACACTTCCTCTAAAACTATTTCAGCATTTTTCTAAAACAACTACCTAATCATTTCCATTGTTTATGTGCCTTATAGAGTTTGGACATATTTCCTTTCAGTGTCTCTCTAAGGACCGAAGGGGACAGATGCACTCATACAGCCTGAAATATAATTGACATATATTTTCATAGCTCAAGAGTTTGTACATCCTTTGATGTTGGATCAATAATCAAGAAATCGTGGCCGAGACTCAAACAAAAGATTGTGTGTCCGAATCTTGAGAGTCTAGACAATAACTCCAGTGTTTCCCAGCAGTGGTCATCTCAGGGGTAACTTCCGGGAGCCCAGAACAGAATGCAATCCATTCCCGTGAAAATGAGTTTTTAGTATAGAATAAAATCCAAGTCTATCATATCAGTCCATCAGTTGATGTGTTGTTCCAAACCATATTACAGTATTACCACAGAAAGACGTGATGCAAAACGTAGTACTTGTAGTGAACGGAAATCTAAAATGAAGCATCAGATTTCTCCCACGGTTTTCAGTCGGACAGAAAACGTTCATATTTCAAGCCCTCGTTGCTCCAAATGAATCCAAAAATGGTCCAAAAATGACAGTCCAATGGATTTAGGTATATATAAAAATAATATGACATCCAGTCAAAAAAAATAACAATTATTTAGTCCAATAAAGATATGAGAAAGGATTTGACTGTTTATCTTGAAGACAGAGTGGTGTTTTTTGTTTTTAATGCAGGTGTTCCTCTCATGTAAACATATCAAAACAGTGTTCAGACTGGCAGTCAATGGGCTGTTCAGTCTTCAGCAGTAACTGTCCCACTGGGTTTGGTCAAAGTGTTCCTGTGCATGTGACCTACCTGCCAAATATCTTCTCATATTCCATAAGAATGAGCTCAACGATCTGATTCTGGTAGACCATGTGCACGGCCATATTTGCCGTCTCTACCTCTGGGCGTAGAAGTGTCGGGCCGAACACGATGGCTACACTCTGCGTGGTCATCCTATTCTCGTCGACATGCTGGATCACTCTACAGAGAGAAAGAGTGCTTGTAAACACACAAGGGCAATTAACATGACATACACTTCCTCTAAAACTATTTCAGCATTTTTCTAAAACAACTACCTAATCATTTCCATTGTTTATGTGCCTTATAGAGTTAAAAAAAAAGAAGCAACTTTTTCATTTTCAATCATCGTTTGTTCTCTCGTTCTCCTTTTATACTCACTTCTTCAGGTGTTTGAAGAGCGCCTGTATGGTGTCGTGGTTAGGCCGTGGCAGTTGCTTCATCAAATCCTTAACCGCCTGAACTTTCTGCTTATAATCAGGCATTTCTACACAGAAACACAACAGTTACATGTGTGCAAAACATCTCCCTCTAAACACTAGTGTCAAATACTGATCTCCACTCACTGATAGCAGTGATGAAGTTGTTGAAGAAAGCGTAGGGGAACAGCGGTTCTGGTAGCTCACGGAAAAACATCTTCAGAGCTCCAGTGGTCACGTGAATGTCTTCCCATTTACTGTCCTCTAAATCCACTTTATCATCTGTATTTATGTAGATTAAAGTGACACAAATCATGTTGTTTTTTTAAATACACATCAATAATGATCTGTTTCGTATAAATCAGTATGGGTTTAAAAGGTGGCAGGGCGTACCGTGATTAACAGCAAATCTCAGTTTTTGTATAATGGCCAAATTTCCACTGACTCTGTACAAACCATCCACTCCTAACCCTGAATAAAGAAAGAAAGAGAAAGAAATGACACGAATTACAAAACATTGGAATGCATGTTAGAATGCAGGTCATAGCAGCGAGTATCAACTCATCCAGTTTACTTGCACATCAATATTGTGATATTAAGCAGTGTCATTTTACTATCATTGATACTCTGTTATAGTTTTTGTTAATATTTAAAATTTTATTTTATTTTTATATTTACTGTTTTCACTTTAATGTTAACATTTTTTGTAATTTTGTTGTCATTTTGATTAATTTTTTAAATGTGTCTATAGTTTTAATTTTTTTTTTATTTGATTTAGTTTTAGCTATTTTATTACTTCAAGTTAAACTAAACAAAACTGAGAAAACTTGCCTTGGTAACAGCTGAAATAAAATAAGTTTAATATTTTTAATATATTATTTTATTTCAGTTAATGTTTATTTTATTTTAAGTAACAAAAATATTAATTGTTTTAGTTGACTATGATAATACCTTTTTTATATTATTATTAAAATAAATTGAAAATAATGCATATTATTATTATTATTGACTGCACAACCTTTTCCGTTTTGTGTTGTTTGAAACTTAATAATAACTCAGCATACTGTACAATTAATGACAGTACTAAATTACCCAGGAAATAAGAGTGGGAAAGAAAGTGTGCATGTACAGATTGGCAACTACAACAACCATGTACACAGGAATATTAAGGTGGAATTTGATGTGCATGTAACCTATGATAGTCAGTGACAAGGGTTGAAAATAGTAATTCAAGTTTTATTAAGCATTAACATTCAAAGCTGGGGTGAGAGTAAATTTAGGATTTAGATTTAGTCAATATTCAGCTGCACATGGACTGAACAGAAGAGTACCGTTCTTCTCCACCTGCTCAATGCACATCGAGACAAAGTGAGGGACGGTGGAATTCTCTCTTTGACAAAGACTGCTCAAACTGGAGCCAAACACCTGATCTACAGAGAGAGAAACAATCAAACAATAAAACAGTCTTTGAATTTTACCAATAACTCTGTGTCCACCCAGTTCTGTGTGTAGGTACCTTTAATGTAGCCCTTGTCTTTGACGGCCTGTAAAGTTGGTCTGCCTGTGAGGAGCTTCATCAGCTTGGTCTTCTTCTTCTGCTCTGCATTATCCATGCTTACGGATTTCTTAATATCTAAAGCATCATGGGAAGAGAAGTCTATGTAAGGAATGGTACACAACTCCAGGTGCACTGGACTGAATATATGAGTGGGCTGTATCATAAATAAATCACCCACCGCTGACTGTGTTATGCATTTTTATTCTTATTAGAGTATTGTGTTGTTAGCTTAGCAATACACTAGACAGCTGCCTAGGGTTTGAAACAGGTCTACAGAATCATTCACATAGGCACACACACACCTCTGCCCTTCTTGGAGTTTCTTTGCTCTTTTTCTTTGTCATGTTTCTCAGTGTCAGGAGATTCTGGCATGTCTTCTTCAATGGCCTCATCAGACTCCCATGCCTGCAACATGAAACACACATCAAGGTCAATAAAAGAATTCAGAATAATTAAAGTGCCGAAGAAATGTAAGTAAAGGCATATAGAAGACTGATCTTACATATGTGTGTATGGCTTCAGTCAAAGCCTTGTGCCACTCACTGATGAGGCTGTCGTTATCTGACTGCAAGAGGAGCTCCATGCCCTGCCGGGTCTTCAGCTTAGACACATGAACACAACAAATCAAACAGCAGTATTTGTCACACAATTAGCCATGTTTAGACATCAAGCTGTTCACCACAGCTTCAGCCAAGCTCTGTGCAAAAAGGACAGGATAATCCACTGCATGACCTTAATAACAGTTCAACATTCATATCTCTTTTAACCAAAGCAAACATAGAGAGTCAAATTAGATAAATAACAACTGCTGTTTACCAGTTTCCAACCAGCTCTTTACCTCTAGAACATGTTTCTTGCTCGATTTGTCTTTAGATGCCCAGTCCACTGAACCTCCTTTGAGTTCCACACTGAACTCCAGCTTCTGGTCTCTTCCAAACTGTTGAGAAAGCAACTCATGAACATACACACAAGACATTTAAACTGAGTACATCACGTGGGCTACTGATGATTTTCTCTCATCACTGAACTGTCACTCACCCAACCAGTCCCGCCCCCTTGACCCTTATTAAATAGTAGTGAAGAACCCTGCAAAACTGTCCAATAGGAGGTCCAGTTCTTCCTGTGGCCGTGACAAAAGGCAAACAAACAATTACAATATCAGCATGGCATAGTTATAAGCATTTGTTTGCTCTGTCAAATGAATGAGAGCATTATTTTTACTTACCGGACCTTTTTTCCATGTTCAGTGATTTTAGTCATGTTTAAATTGCCACATTTCTCTGACGACTAGAATAGAGAAAAAGATTTGAGAAGAGAGAAAGAGGACAAAACTAAACCTAAAAAAAAAAAAACAGTCAGAGCGATGAACAGCATGCAGCCACAGAATTAACCCAGAACAGAGTGAGAAGAAACCTAACTTTGTCCAGTCGCAACAGAGGCTACCATAAGAGAGAAATTACACAAGAACAGTGATGATTTAGGCAGTATGTTGTACTGAACTGTTACAGTCAGTTCTTTAGTATTTAGTATAGAAGCAGCTCAACAGACACAACCAGTAAATGCTTATAAAATGGACAGTTCTAAAATCTGACTGGGCGAGCTGCATTTAAAGCACAATGGAATGCAAATGTACACACACCTGTGATCACACAACGATTTACTTCTGTATCAATGCACCAAACTGACTTTATTTTTAATATAATTGCTAAAGTATGTAAGCACTTATTAAACATCACAGTCTTGTCATATTGGTGTGGCTTTCTAAAGGCATTGATCCATGAGAGGTTGTCCAGTGATTAACCATCTATAAGCACTCCACTTCACATTAAGCCTATCTAATACCCTTAAACCCTTAATGCCAGAGTACTCATGGCTTATTGATTTATTATAAACCCACAAAACAAACACACAGAAGAGTCAGAGCTCAGCATTAAGAGGAGTAAAGACAGAGCAGGGCAACAAAGACAAACATAAAGGAGGACAAGGACGAGAAGAGAGGGATGATGCTGATACTAACAGAGTTTGAGGGTTTGGGAGAGGAGGGACAGGAGGAGTCAGAGTCAGGTGAGCCTGTTTTGGTGTCCTACACAAGAAAACAACAAACCACATGATTCAAAATTATGTACAATTTTATAAACACCTGTAATAATCAGCAAACTAATCCACAGTTGTCAATAGTCATCAGTCATTGCACCTAATAATTCAATAACAACCAATATGTAATTCAGACAGCATATATATATATACACACTATATATCTCTATTTCAGGGTCAGCCAAGATATTCTGTCTTAAAGTAAAACTCACCCACTCTAAAACCAGACAGGACTTACTGATCATTTAATCAAAGCACGTGATTAATCACACAGGTGTAAAGCATTTCTCGAATCATTAAAGAGTTTATTGAAAAATATAAATTCTGTCATCAGCTCAACTTTATGCCACTCAAAACCATCCACTGAAGACAAAAAAAAATATCCTAAAGGTTGTGAGCAACATAAGTGTGTGTACATGATGACAGCTGAAATTTAATGGTGAATGATTCCTTTAAAGGATGATATATTCATGTGCAATTTCTCATGCAGTTCAAATATATATTGTATAAAAATTTGTGTAGAAATCACTGTATATACTAAAATGAGTTGCAGTGGGTGAAAGTGTGCATGCATAATCTCAGACGAGGTGATTGGTTGTTGGGATATAGGGGTGGGGCAACACTGACTTGTGGCCTATAAGGGTAAAAGCGGACGGTGCTTTCGCGGTGCGGGGGTAAGGCTCGCCGGTCCTTGACGGATTTCTGTTTTAACTTCAGTCAAACATAAAGCACATGTAAACATCATCACCCAAATCAGGATGGGAGTCATTCACATCACTAAAAACCAAAAGTGTGTTCATTTCAACCAGACCAGCATTTGACAGTGCTTGTAAATATAATCACCCCTAAGCAGTTTCATGTTGACACAATACCTTATGAATTATTTGAATTATAGTTTATATAATCAACCTTTGAATGTATTTAAATTATTAAATAAATTTAAAAACATGTATATTTCATACTGATATTGCCAGCAGAACTTGTAGTAGAAGTTGTACTTGTACTTGTAGTACTTGTAGTACTGATATTATCAGCTAACATCTTAAGTACTTGGTGAAATAAATCTTCATAAGAAACTTAAAAATAAGAGTTTAACCATTAAGTGAAGAAAAAAACAACTTAAAACAATGTGCTTGATTATTCGTTTCATTAAGCTTGCCATTTGTATTAGCAGCACATGCCCTTGATACGAATTCTAAAAGTGACGTATGTTTAACTGTCAACTTGAGCTTTGAATCCGTGGCGGAAGGAAGTAGTTCCGCACAAAAGAGGGTTTTATTAGGCACTCCGTTGTTTCTTGTTTAATTACACACATGTTCCGTCGAACTGCGGCCTCGTGCCTCTGGCCTAATCACAGCCCTGCTGATATAGAGCCGGTATCGCTCTCGTACTCGAGTGATATTGCTCATTTAATAAACCAAATTGAAAGGGATTTCTGGGACTTCCTGACTAGATTTTTTTTTTTTTATGCTGTTAAGCACTGGAATCTGTTGTTAGCCTCACCTGTGATTTGAGACCAATTTTAGGAAGCTCCCACTCAGATCTGGAGCCATCTGCGCTGTAGTAATACAGCCGGCCATGCTCGTCTGTGTGTCTCAACCACTACATACATATACAAAACACACACAGGCACTAGTTGGTTAGTTGCCTGAACAACTAGTCGACTAATTAGTCTCAAGAAAGCCCTTTAAGGCAGGTTTCGGGTTCACCTAACCTTATATGGATGAGTTTTTACACAAGAGAGTATCTAAAGCCACCCTTCCACTATGTCTAACATTCAAGTACAATTGCCGCATTTCACCTCCTACTGACAATCGTCCAGAACTTTCAAATTGTTACAGAAGCTGCCATTACCCTCCACTTTTTCACCATGGTAAAAAGAAAGGAAAAATGAATGTATGAATAAATATTCATGATTAATGTTGTAGTGCAAAAACATTTGCAAATCTCACATTTCGTGCATAGTTTTGATTAGAATACAACACATCCAGTTGAGTGGCTGCAAACAGTCTAGCCGCAAAAGTTCAGATATTTCAAATACCGAAGCTTAAATTGGATTTGAAAATTTCACATACACATATTCCACGCATCTCATGTACTTCTCTCCATTGGGCATGAATGACTTCCAATCTGTCTGAAACTGTTTGTCAGAGACAGTAAAAAGGCGGCTTCATGTTCAAAAACAATTAGACAGAATGCAATAGAAAGGAATGAGTGTTTTTAAAACTTAATGCATAAAAACTTAACACTCATGGCAAGGGGTTAAAAAAACAGCATGTGAGGACTGTAATGGCAGTAAGTTAAAGGGGATGAATTACAAAAAAAACGACTTATTCACAGCTTATTGCAAGCACCAAATAAAGAAGCGCAAATTAAAAACAACAAAAAAGCTACACGACTAGTTGACTCGTCAACCACTGTGACCATCTTTAGATATACCAAATCAATGGTTATAACAGGTCATTCAGTTTGTTAACCATATAAATAAGGAAAAACAAGTGTAGCCATTTGGGGAAAAAAAACAAAAACAAAAAAAAAACAAGCCAGTTGTTGATGAAAAAGTAGTTTCTCCATTTTTAAGCTTAGTAAGACAAAAATTGTCAACCATGCAGTAACACACTGAGTTTGTCTTTGTACCTTCTCATTAGTATAGTCAGACACATAGAGAGTGTGTCCATGCTCATCCATTTCCTCAGACCAGCCTCTAGGGGGCGAACCATACTGGCTGTCTGATTGGCTGCTCAGACAGTTTTCCTCCGATGACAGAACCTTCACCCAGCCAATCACACAAAAGCAAGACGAGTAGAAAGAAATATAGAAAGAAACAAAGTAAAAGAGTTCATTCAGAGAGGCAGACAAGGAAAAGAGAGAGACGAGAAATAAATCACCAGTCACAATTAACCCTTCACCCACCAGGGAAAATCAATTACCCAGAATGCTTTTCATGCATATAAATATTCAGCTTAGGTTGAGAAAGAAAGCGCTATATAAATGCATCATTCATTCATTCATTCATTCATTCAAAAAGCTATCCAGTCATGCATTTCCCAAGACCACAATGGACATTTTGTCCCTTATGAAGTTGTTCTTCCCCTTTGTAAGCCACATATAAACGTAATAATACATGCGTGTGTGTTTGTGCGTGCAAGCATCACCGTCTGTTGTGTTGAGTCTAATCTTGAGGTTGTTGTGTGTGTACCTCAGTGTCAGTCATGTCTTGTTTTTCCTCTTTCCTGGTGAGGCTGTCCCGTGCCCTTGGGGGTTTCCAGGTCCTCTCCTGCGTGCTGCTGTTGTAGTAGAAGTGTCTGCCATTCTGGTCTTTGTGAGTCTCCCAGTCGCCATTGGTGTGGAACGGAGAGGAGGACGGCAGTGGAGGGATGGAGGACTGAAAGATCTTCAACTCCTGCAGGTTTATGTAGACAGGAGAGTCAGGCCTGCCCTGCCCTGAACCTAAAGTCTGCATTAGAAGAAAGAGACAACCGTTGTTAGAAATGGTTGATGTTTGAGAGAACAAATAATCATACTGTAATCTGGCAAAGGTTGCGGTTAAATACAAAGTTGCATGTGCTATGTAAATCTTAATTTTACAATCACAGAGTAATTTTAAAGGGGTCCTATTATGCTCTTTTACAATGTCTTGAATTTGTTTTGTTCTGTCTCATGCTTGGTGGTTCGAAAAATGCATTATTTTTTACATAATTTACATTATTACAATACCTTTCTCCCCAGTCTGGCACAAACGGCTCGATTAGTTCCGGGTTTGATGAACGCCCGCCTTCCGAAAAACGAAATGTGATGTGACTGGCGAACAGCACGGATATTGCAAGACATATTAGAGTGGTAACGTTATAGTTTTTTTTTGTTTGTTTTTTTTGGCTAAATAACGTTTTAGATAGGATATAGGGAGGGCTCGATATCACTTTTTCAGAACCGATCCCGATCCGATACCAAAACTTCAGAGTATCTGCTGATACCGATAGATCCGATACCAGTGCTGTTTTTTTTAAATCAGTGTAGAATTTCTAAACCTCAATGTGTGTTGACCTGATCGTCACTCTTTTGTGTGTTACACACAATCTACTAAATATAGACAACTTCATTATAAAGAAAAATAACAAACGAAAAAAAAATATAACCATTATCGATGACAAAAATGCTATTATAAACTAGGTTAGTGGACAATTCGATAGGAAAAGTTACTCTAGAAAAATTATGAGTTTTATCAAATCTAATTTTATAAAATCTAAACTTTTAGTGAAAAACAAAACATTATTTAGTGGGGAACAAATAAAATAAGTGTAGGACTAAATCTGGTAAAATGTTAAACATTGCACTTTGTATTGTTGTAAAATATATTCATGAAAAACAAGTAATATATTTATATATAAATATAAATTAAAAGACATTTCTTTTAAATGTATAGCACAGTAATGTTGCAGCAACATATGATAGATAAGACGAACAAGAAAGGCTATTAATAATCTTTCATTGTGCAAAAGTATTATAATAGGAAAGGCTCCAATACAGACCAGCACAAAGCGCTTATGCGCATCCCGAGCGCAGAATGATGCGCTTGAAGCAACACAGAATCACAGCACGCAGGCACAGCGCTCCGCATGAAGACGTTCAAAGCACAAAGGGAAGAGATAATAATGCGCAGTGTATTAAATCTGTGCGTTAGTTTATTGAGCCTTTTCTTTCAACAGATTTAAATTTCAGTTACTGTGCTCGTGAAGAACAATTCATAGTGCTCTCTACTTCAGTGTTGCGATCTAACAGATACCAGGTAGAAATTAACATGATTTAGAAACAGCACAAACTCAAGCAAGATAAAATCCTTTTATGCAGAATCATTTATCTTTATCTACAGATCAAGTATAATATTAGGAACATGAACATTTAATAATCTTGGAGAGAGTTTTATCATTTTGACTGTAGTAACCGAACGTGCCGCACAGTTTGAATGCTGAATGGAGGATGACAGACAGCCGCAGCGGAGAGAAGATTTTAGGTGAACTCGACTTGGTAAATAATCATCTGTACCTCACATTAAACTATGGAACGGCTTCAGAACATTTGAAATATAGTACACAAAAACTTTATTGTGCTTTATAATGTTTTTTGTGGCTTTCGTGGGGCTTAACAATAACACAGAATATTATACGCAGATATCGGATTTGGATTGGTCTCGTCTGACCGATATCCCGATCCAGCAGAAAATGGCAATATCGGAGCGATACTGATACTAGGGATGCGCCGATCCGATCCAATCCCTTTGTGCTTTGCAGTTTTTAACACGAAGCGCTTACAATGTGCTCATCCGGTGTGCAGAATGATACGCTTGAAGCAACACGGCGTCAGGCTGTAACGCCATGTTGCTTCAAGCGCATCATTCTGCACACCGGATGCGCACATCCTAAGCGCTTCGTGCTCATAGACTGTATAAAAACTGTTTGTGCTGCACTGTATTTGTTTTGTCCTATCATATCAATCATATGTTGCTGCCTTATTAAAAAATATGCTATACATTCAAAAGAAATGTATTTTAATTTTATAGTATATACTTAAACATATATATGAATGTTTTTAATGAATGGCTTTTATAATACAAATAGCAATGTGTAACATTTTACCATATTTAGTGCAACACTTTTATTTGTTCCCCACAAAATGTTTTTTCACTAAATGTTTGGATTTCTAAAATTATTGTGCAATGATTTTTTTAGAATAGATTTTGCTGCCGAATTATCCACTAACCTAGTTTATGATACATTTTTGTCATAGATTATAAATATACATAGGCCTATATTTTTTCATATTTATTGTTTATTTTACTTTTCTTTATAATGAAGTAGTCTGTATCTAGTAGATTGTGAAAGAATGATTATCAGTTCCACACACAGAGATATATAAATTCTACATTTATTTAAATGGGGGAAAAAAACTTCACTGGTATCGGCCAATACCGAACCCTAGGAATCGGAATCGTATCGGAGGCGAAAAAAGCAGATCGGAGCATCCCTAACTGATACTGAATATCGGATAGGCGCACCCCTAATCTGGACACATTTACACTATTATTCCGCCCTCTAATAATGACAGTATGACATAACAGAGAACTGAAGACGGATAAATTCAACTTATTCTGCTGCTTACAGGTTGAATGAATTATTCAATTCTCATGAAAATACAAGCTTAAACGTGTTTTTAAAGGGGTCATATGATGCGATTTCAAGTTTTCCTTTCTCTTTGGAGTGTTACAAGCTGATTGTGCATAGATAAGATCCCTGAAGTTGCAAAGACTAAAGTCTCAAAACCAAAGAGATATTCTTTATCAAAGTTAAGACTCTGCCACGCCCCCCTAAAACGGCTCGTTCTAACACGCCCCCACATATCTACCTCACTATGTGGAAACATTTGCATAATGCCACCCAAATGTGCACGCAAAGAAAGAAGGCATGGTTTCAGTAACCGCAGTTAGTGTTGAAGCAGCCATGTCAGGGAGAAGCTGTGTGTTTCTAGGCGAAAGCAAAAGCACTATATTTGGCCTTCCGAAAGTAGATGCATTTAGGAATCTTTAAGATCACTTACAACAGAACAGCAATGCATTTTATGGACGACCGTTTCGTGAACCTAGGAGAGGAGGTAATTCTGACTTTGCTATGACAATCTGGCGCTTCTGAATCAGCTACTGTAAGTATGTTTTGTTACTAGTTTAAGTATTTGCTATTGACTGTTCAAATGCAGAGTTTTGCGCATCATGTCTGTGTGTGTGTGAGAGAGAGAGAGAGACAGGGTCACATCACAGTGGAGTCAGCTGTCTTAACCGTGGCTTGTGTACTGCAAACACATACCAGCTTCATCACTGTGTCTGTCACGCGACTCTGTTCCCCTTTCGGGCTCTGTCTTTACATTTATTGTGAAAGATGAAGCTCGCGATTATGGTAAGGGGCGTTACATTTCCGACGAGTGCTTGCGGTGTTCGGCCAATCACAATGCACTGGGTCAGCTGGCCAATCAGAGCAGACTGCGCTTGTCAGAAGGAGGGACTTTGTAGAAAACGAAGCGTTTGAGAGAGGCGGGGCATAGAGGACCTACAATAATGTACAGTATTTGAAAAATAATGTGTTTTTTGAACATTAAAGCATGTCAACATATTCTGTTACACCAAATACACAACATAATGATCTTTTAAATAGCATCATATGACCCCTTTAAATATAGTTTACATAAATGGACAACTGTATAGAAAACTACATGTCATTCTTGTGCAAATCATACTGACTTTGAAGTACAGATATATCACGTGCACACTGATTTTTCTCCATGTCAAAGTTCCTGTTATCCAACCTGTTAAAGTTTCCGTTTTTCCAGATTTTTGACATATTTTCTCGTTTGAACGAAAACCAAAAATGTGGTTTTATGGCATTTGTGGCAGCCACACTTTCGATGCATCCCTACTGCTCACAGGAACTGATTAGAATAGTATTTTCTTCTTGAGGGACATTATGAGACTAGAACGATAGAGAGAGTCACAGACAGAGAGGGAAACAGAGAGAGAACATAGATTAGAGAGAGAGAGTGAGACTGTCATTCATACCTGAAACTTGTTTATAGAAGAACCTGCACAACCACATTCCAGACCCTTACAACACACACCTGAACTCAGACTTACTTTACCACCAGGCCTCTCGACAAGATTAGATTTAAGGCATAAAAACAAAATAAGCTGGATAAGGAAAATGTCACAATGAAGAACACCATACAGCAAAAAGCACTGAATAAAATGAGAAACCTCTAGTCCAACAAAATACTGAAACAGAGAGAGAGATGGAGGAAGTGAACAACTGTGTCCATGTCCAAACAGTGAACTCTACGGCTTGTCATTCAATCAAAACTGTTACACAACAGCCCCAATGGGTAATTTAATTTTGACTAAGCACATTAGAGTAAGTGTGTGTGAGAGAGAGAAAGCTCTCTTGATATTTTTGCAAAGCTATTGAAGGTTTTATCAAATTATAATGCAAGTGAAGTGAACCAGCCCAGTCCTAGTTTCCAAAGACAAAGAATCCCAGCATGCATCACTGCACTGTTTGAAACAAGGTAATCAGCTCACATGAATGTGTGCATGGTGAACCCAGATAGCACTTAACAGTTTAAGCCATAGAGGATAATGTCATCAGATTAGAGATTCGGGCTAAAGCGCACAAACACAAGCTAATGGTGTAGTGTGATCAAACTGACTTTTAAGGTCAACGAGAGCGGAAGAAACATGGAGAACCTACACTCGATATCCCAAAAATCAGGATGTGATCACAACGATAATGTAATAACTTCATATAAAAGACTTCAGTCTGGCAGTCTGTGTCAAAGAGAAAGAGTCTTGTGTAGCAACCCTCTACAATGCGAGTAAATCACTCGCATATGCGACTAAATTTTCACCCTGGGTGACTAAAT